AGACTAGACTATAGACTAGACTATAGACTAGACTAGACTATAGACTAGACTAGACTAGACTAGACTAGACTAGACTATAGACTAGACTAGACTATAGACTAGACTATAGACTAGACTATAGACTAGACTATAGACTAGACTATAGACTAGACTATAGACTAGACTATAGACTAGATATAGACTAGACTATAGACTAGACTATAGACTAGACTATAGACTAGACTATAGACTAGACTATAGACTACACTATGGACTAGACTATAGACTTAGACCTATAGACTAGACTATAGACTAGACTCATAGACTAGACTATAGACTAGACTATAGACTAGACTATAGACTAGACTATAGACTAGACTATAGACTAGACTATAGGACTAGACTCTAGACTAGACTATTAGACTGACTATAGACTAGACTATAGACTAGACTATAGACTAGACTATAGACTAGACTATAAGATAGACTAGACTATAGACTAGACTATAGACTAGACTATAGACTAGACTATAGACTAGACTATAGACTAGACTAGACTAGACTATAGACTAGACTAGAAGAATAGACGAGACGAGACTAGAGAAGAGAAGAGAGACGAGATAGAGACGAGACTATAGACGAGACTAGAGAGAGACTATAGACGAGACGAGAGACGAGACGAGAGACTAGACGAGGAGACGAGACGAGAGAGAGACGAGAGACGAGAGAGAGAGAGAGAGAGACGAGACGAGAGACGAGGAGAGACGAGACGAGAGACGAGACGAGAGACGAGGCAGAACGAACGAACGAACGAACGAACGAACGAACGAACGAACGAACGAACGAACGAACACGAACGAACGAACGAACGAACGAACGAACGAACGAACGAACGAACGAACGAAGAACGAACGAACGAACGAAACGAACGAACGAACGAACGAACGAACGAACGAACGAACGAAGAACGAACGAACGAACGAACGAACGAACGAACGAACGAACGAACGAACGAACGAAAACGAACGAACGAACGAAACGAACACGAAACGAACGAACGAACGAACGAACGAACGAACGAACGAACGAACGAACGAACGAACGAACGAACGAACGAACGAACGAACGAAACGAACGAACGAACGAACGAACGAACGAACGAACGAACGAAAAAACGAACGAACGAACGAACGAACGAACGAACGAACGAACGAACGAACGAACGAACGAACGAACGAAACGAACGAACGAACGAACGAACGAACGAACGAACGAACGAACGAACGAACGAACGAACGAACGAACGAACGAACGAACGAACGAAAACACGAACACGAACGAACGAACGAACGAACGAACGAACTAACGAACGAACGAACGAACGAACGAACGAACGAAACGAACGAACGACAACGAACGAACGAACGAACGAACGAACGAAAACGAACGAACGAACGAACGAACGAACGAACAACGAACGAACGAACGAAACGAACGAACGAACGAACGAACGAAACGACGAACGAACGAACGAACGAACGAACGAACGAACGAAAACGAACAACGAACGAAACGAACGAACGAACGAACGAACGAAGAACGAACGAACGAACGAACGAACGAACGAACGAACGAAGAACGACGAACGAACGAACGAACGAAACGAACGAACGAACGAACGAACGAACGAACGAACGAACGAACGAACGAACGAACGAACGAACGAACGAACGAAGAACGAACGAACGAACGAACAACGAACGAACGAACGAACGAACGAACGAACGAACGAACGAACGAACGAACGAACGAACGAACGAACGAACGAACTAACGAACGAACGAACGAACGAACGAAACGAACGAACGAACTAACGAAAAACGAACGAACGAACGAACGAAACGAACGAACGAACGAACTAACTAACGAACGAACGAACTAACTAACGAACTAACTAACTAACTAACGAACGAACTACACTAACTAACTAACTACAAAACTAACTAACTAACTAACTAACTAACTAACTAACAACTAACTAACTAACTAACTAACTAACTACTAACTAACGAACTAACTAACTAACTAACTAACTAACTAACTAACTAACTAACTAACTAACTAACTAACTAACTAACTAACTAACTAACTAACTAACTAAACTAACTAACTAACTAACTAACTAACTAACTAACTAACTAACTAACTAACTAACTAACTAGACTATAGACTAGACTAGCCTATAGACTAGACTATAGACTAGACTAGACTAGACTATAGACTAGATAGACTAACTAGCTAGACTAGATAGACTATAGACTAGACTATAGACTAGACTATAGACTAGACTATAGACTAGATTATAGACTAGACTATAGACTAGACTATAGACTAGACTATAGACTAGACTATAGACTAGACTAGACTATAAGACTAGACTATAGACTAGACTATAGACTAGACTATAGACTAGGACTATAGACTAGACTAGACTATAGACTAGACTAGACTATAGACTAGACTATAGACTAGACTATAGACTAGGACTATAGACTAGACTATAGACTAGACTATAGACTAGACTATAGACTAGACTATAGACTAGACTATAGACTAGACTATAGGACTACACTATGGACTAGACTATAGACTAGACTATAGACTAGACTATAGACTAGACTATAGACTAGTCTATAGACCAGACTATAGACTAGACCATAGACTAGACCATAGACTAGACTATAGACTAGGACTATAGACTAGGACTATAGACTAGACTATAGACTAGACTATAGACTAGACTATAGACTAGACTATAGACTAGACTATAGACCAGACCATAGACTAGACTATAGACTAGACTATAGACTAGACTAGACTATAGACTAGAATATAGACTAGACTATAGACTAGACTATAGACTAGAATATAGACTAGGCTATTGGCTAGACTATAGACTAGACTATAGACTAGACTATAGACTAGACTATAGACTAGACTATAGACTAGACTATAGACTAGACTATAGACTAGACTATAGACTAGACTATAGACTAGACTATAGACTAGACTATAGACTAGACTATAGACTAGACTATAGACTAGACTATAGACTAGACTATAGACTAGACTATAGACTAGACTATAGACTAGACTATAGACTAGACTATAGACTAGACTATAGACTAGACTATAGACTAGACTATAGACTAGACTATAGACTAGACTATAGACTAGACTATAGACTAGACTAGACTATAGACTAGACTATAGACTAGACTATAGACTAGACTATAGACTAGACTATAGACTAGACTATAGACTAGACTATAGACTAGACTATAGACTAGACTATAGACTAGACTATAGACTAGACTATAGACTAGACTATAGACTAGACTATAGACTAGACTATAGACTAGACTATAGACTAGACTATAGACTAGACTATAGACTAGACTATAGACTAGACTATAGACTAGACTATAGACTAGACTATAGACTAGACTATAGACTAGACTATAGACTAGACTATAGACTAGACTATAGAGTAGACTTTAGACTAGACTATAGACTAGACTATAGACTAGACTATAGACTAGACTATAGACTAGACTATAGACTAGACTATAGACTAGACTATAGACTAGACTATAGACTAGACTATAGACTAGACTATAGACTAGGCTATAACTAACTAACTAACTAACTAACTAACTAACTAACTAACTAACTACTAACTACTAACTAACTAACTACTAACTAACTAACTAACACTACTAACTAACTAACTAACACTAACTAACTAACTAACTAACTAACTAACTAACTAACTAACTACTAACTAACTACTAACTAACTAACTAACTAACTAACTAACTAACTAACTAACTACAACTAACTAACTAACTAACTAACTACAAAACTACTAACTAACTAACTAACTAACTAACTAACTAACTAACTAACTAACTAACTAACTAACAACTAACTAACTAACTAACAACTAACTAACTAACTAACTAACTAACTAACTAACTAACTAACTAACTACTAACACTACAACTAACTAACTAACTAACTAACTAACTAACTAACTAACTAACTAACTAACTAACTAACTAACTAACTAACTAACTAACTAACTAACTAACAACTAACTAACTAACTAACAACTAACTAACTAACTAACTAACTAACACTAACTAACTAACTAACTAACTAACTAACTAACTAACTAACTAACTAACTAACTAACTAACTAACTAACTAACTAAAACTAACTAACTAACTAACTAACTAACTAACTAACTAAACTAACTAACTAAACTAACTAACTAACTAACTAATTAACTAACTAACTAACTAACTAACTAACTAAGTTCGATATCAATTTGTCTTCCACATTCTTAGTAATCTGATTAAGGTTGCCAAATGTAGTACAATTCATTTTAAATCTTTTCTGTTATATTTACAATTATTTCCTTATAAATACATTTATCTGCATAACACCCTCCATTCAAACTTATCTTTAGTACTTTACATTTAAATGCCAACACGTCCTAAGGTCATTTACCTTTTGTATAAAAAATTTTACATAGATTTCTCTAACAACCCCCTAAAATTAAAAATTTAAACAACACCCCCAGGAATTAAACGAGAAAAAGACTGTTTAAAAACAAACAATACAACTTTAAACACGTTAAAGTCAAACAATTATAACTGACATCTGTTTCAGTTGCTTTTAATTATCAGCCATAAATTCCAAGAAAGGCTCGTGCCCAAAAAAATAAATAGAAATTGTGTTACATGTCCCATGTACCAGTAAAGATAAACTAGAAAATTATGTTAATTAGGGGACAATAACAAAAAAGGACCTTTTTTATCTAACTACAGCTTTCTCATTTATTCCCTCTTTGTTAGGTAAATTGGTCAAAATGTGGGGAATATAAACAAAATTTATGCAAGCAACATGAACAAACATGATTAGCTATGGTACATAGTTAGCTAGATAAACTTACCCTTAAACGATGAGCCTCATCTATGGTAGCCGAAGCATGATAACTTAAAACCTCCAAAGTAACACTTTGTTTAGCCATGGCCACAATAGCTTTTTCATACATGTGTGTATTATGAATGCCCATGCCACAGAAAATGGCAAAAGCTTCAACGAAATTTTCATCATTTTTGGTAAAGGTCTAAAGGAAGAGATGGGATATAAAATTATGAATAAATATATTTATTGTTCTCTTATATATTAAATAATAACTCACCAAGTTATCAAATTTATTTATTAATTGTATAACACCAATAATTTGACCCAATGAATTTTTGATGGCCATACATAAAATCGATTTATGTTGGAAATTGGTATTCTCATCCACACTGGGATCAAAACGATCATCGGCATAAGCATTTGGTATATTAACAGTCTGCAAAGAGAAAATCAAGCAATTAAAACAAAAAATAAACAGAATATCCTTAACAGCTTACCTCTCCCGTTGTTGCTACATGACCCGTTATGCCCACATTTATGGGAAATCTCGATTCAAATGGACTCGTACGATTCGTTGACTCTTCCTCACTCAAATCATTCGCTTCAAAATCGAATACTCGCGAAAAACTACCCTTCGATGCTTCATGCACCAGCAGTATTTGAACTCTTTGGCATTGTATTAGACTCTGCATGTGGGTTAGTATACGAAAGACCATATGTTCAATGGTACTTTGTTCTTCGAAGATCATGCGTGCCAAATCGAGCAACACCTGATTACGTTTGATTTCCAACTGTGATTTCTCGTAGAGTTGAGCGTTGCGTAGACCAATACCACAGAATTGTAAATAGGAAGCGAAAACCTTGAAATGAAAAACAAGACAAATAGTGGTGATTAATTTGTTTAACAAAATAAGGTAAAAGGTTGTCTAGCGTTTATGTGTGTGTTGAAAAGATTGTAAAAAAGGAAAATTTTCCAATTAAAACTAAATCGTTAAAGTTTTCCGCTTGAACAAGTTTTGCAAGGGAAATTTTTAAGAAAAGGGTTTATTTATATTTCAAGATGTTTGTCACTAAGAAAGTGGTAAAGATATTTTATTGAACTATGTCAATATTTTGGACCGGACTTTATAAAAATTCCGGCAATCTTCAAACCATATCTTAATCCCAAATCATATCCGTTCAAAGATCCGGTATCTTTTAACCTACAGTACCTATACGCGATATAGAGTTAAACTACAACCATTACGTATAGCTAGAAGGAACCTCATTAATAGTCTGTGCAGGAAGAGTACTGCTGACCACTAATACCGACGAGTTATTTGATTTCTCTAGTGAGAAATTCCATCCGACAACACTAATGTGAGACGTTATGAGAGTTCTATACATATATGTACAATACAATGTCCAGTACATCACTTTTTTGTAGGAATACCTGTTAGACGATGCTTATTAATGTATGTATTAAATACGATGAAAACAAAAAATCATTTTTAGAAAAGGACCTCACTACCCAACCGCCGATTGAAAATCTTGATCTCTGAACTTTTCAGATCTTTCTGAAATGAATGTCAAAAATTTCATCGCGAGAAAAACAATTGAGATGTTTGTTAGAGTAATTCTGGTCCACAAAATAACTTTTCAAATCAAATGCCAAAATAATTTTTAAAAATTTTTCGCTATAAGCTAAAAATTACGACACCTTTGACACCTACATATTTCAATAAAAAAAATATGGCTCTCGATCCACTAAAATTAATTTTTTTTTTTCAATCACTTGTAGGGAACTGTTGACCATTCCAAAAATATTTATTTATAACCTGCTCCACAATAGTGTGAAGGGAGCGTTTGTGATGATGTTTGTAACACCTAAAATTGGCCCTATACCCACCGTAAAGTATATCAATCGGCTCGGCTTTTTGATTCGATTTAGCTATGTCCATCCGTCTGTGTATCCATGTAAACCTTATGCGCACTCTACAGGTCGCAATTTTCAAGATAATTTGATCAAATTTGATAAGCACGAAACCTATTGTAAAATCGGTCCAAAATTTACAAAATCGGCAGAATCTAATTTTATATTCGTAATGATCGGGCCTCATTTGACCCCAGTCCCCCTACAAAGTCCAATTAAGAAAATGACTTAACTTATTTCCTCTTTTAGAAAATCTCTTTGGTCGGCCATGTCCGACTATACATTCTTATTTAGTTAGTTAGTTATTTAGTTAGTTAGTTAGTTAGTTAGTTAGTTAGTTAGTTAGTTAGTTATTAGTAGTTAGTTAGTTAGTAGTAGTTAGTTAGTTAGTTAGTTAGTTAGTTAGTTAGTTAGTTAGTAGTTAGTTAGTTAGTTAGTTAGTTAGTTAGTTAGTTAGTTAGTTAGTTAGTTAGTTAGTTAGTTAGTTAGTAGTTAGTTAGTTAGTAGTTAGTTAGTTAGTTAGTAGTTAGTAGTTAGTTAGTTAGTTAGTTAGTTAGTTAGTTAGTTAGTAGTTAGTTAGTTAGTTAGTTAGTTAGTTAGTAGTAGTTAGTAGTTAGTTAGTTAGTTAGTTAGTTAGTTAGTTAGTTAGTTAGTTAGTTAGTTAGTTAGTTAGTTAGTAGTTAGTTAGTAGTTAGTAGGTTAGTTAGTTAGTTAGTTAGTTAGTTAGTTAGTTAGTTAGTTAGTTAGTTAGTTAGTTAGTTAGTTAGTAGTTAGTTAGTTAGTAGTTAGTTAGTAGTTAGTTAGTTAGTTAGTTAGTTAGTTAGTTAGTTAGTTAGTTAGTTAGTTAGTAGTTAGTTAGTTAGTTAGTTAGTTAGTTAGTTAGTTAGTTAGTTAGTTAGTTAGTTAGTTAGTTAGTAGTTAGTTAGTTAGTTAGTTAGTTAGTTAGTTAGTTAGTTAGTTAGTTAGTAGTTAGTTAGTTAGTTAGTTAGTTAGTTAGTTAGTTAGTAGTTAGTTAGTTAGTTAGTTAGTTAGTTAGTTAGTTAGTTAGTTAGTTAGTTAGTTAGTTAGTTAGTTAGTTAGTTAGTTAGTTAGTTAGTTAGTTAGTTAGTTAGTTAGTTAGTAGTTAGTTAGTTAGTTAGTTAGTTAGTTAGTAGTTAGTTAGTTAGTTAGTTAGTTAGTTAGTTAGTTAGTTAGTTAGTTAGTTAGTTAGTTAGTTAGTTAGTTAGGTAGTTAGTTAGTAGTTAGTTAGTTAGTTAGTAGTTAGTTAGTTAGTTAGTTAGTTAGTTAGTTAGTTAGTTAGTTAGTTAGTTAGTTAGTTAGTTAGTTAGTTAGTTAGTTAGTTAGTTAGTTAGTTAGTTAGTTAGTTAGTTAGTTAGTTAGTTAGTTAGTTAGTTAGTTAGTTAGTTAGTTAGTTAGTTAGTTAGTTAGTTAGTTAGTTAGTTAGTTAGTAGTTAGTTAGTTAGTAGTTAGTTAGTTAGTTAGTTAGTTAGTTAGTTAGTAGTTAGTTAGTAGTTAGTTAGTTAGTTAGTTAGTTAGTGTTAGTTAGTTAGTTAGTTAGTTAGTTAGTTAGTTAGTCTTAGTTAGTTAGTTAGTTAGTTAGTTAGTTAGTTAGTAGTTAGTTAGTTAGTTAGTTAGTCGTTAGTTAGTTAGTTAGTTAGTTAGTTAGTTAGTTAGTTAGTTAGTAGTTAGTAGTTAGTTAGTTAGTTAGTTAGTTAGTTAGTTAGTTAGTTAGTTAGTTAGTTAGTTAGTTAGTTAGTTAGTTAGTTAGTTAGTTAGTTAGTTAGTTAGTTAGTTAGTTAGTTAGTTAGTTAGTTAGTTAGTTAGTAGTTAGTTAGTTAGTTAGTTAGTTAGTTAGTAGTTAGTTAGTTAGTTAGTTAGTTAGTTAGTTAGTTAGTTAGTTAGTTAGTTAGTTAGTTAGTTAGTTAGTTAGTTAGTTAGTTAGTTAGTTAGTTCGTTAGTTAGTTGTTAGTTAGTTAGTATTAGTTAGTTAGTTAGTTAGTTAGTTAGTAGTTAGTTAGTTAGTTAGTTAGTTAGTTAGTTAGTTAGTAGTTAGTTAGTTAGTTAGTTAGTTAGTTAGTTAGTTAGTTAGTTAGTTAGTTAGTTAGTTAGTTAGTTAGTTAGTTAGTTAGTTAGTTAGTTAGTAGTTAGTTAGGTAGTTAGTTAGTTAGTTAGTTAGTTAGTTAGTTAGTTAGTTGTTAGTTAGTTAGTTAGTTAGTTAGTTAGTTAGTAGTTAGTTAGTTAGTTAGTTAGTTAGTTAGTTAGTTAGTTAGTTAGTTAGTTAGTAGTTAGTTAGTTAGTTAGTTAGTTAGTTAGTTAGTAGTTAGTTAGTTAGTTAGTTAGTTAGTTAGTTAGTAGTTAGTTAGTTAGTAGTTTAGTTAGTTAGTTAGTTAGTTAGTTAGTTAGTTAGTTAGTTAGTTAGTTAGTTAGTTAGTTAGTTAGTTAGTTAGTTAGTTAGTTAGTTAGTTAGTTAGTTAGTTAGTTAGTTAGTTAGTTAGTTAGTTAGTTAGTTAGTTAGTTAGTTAGTTAGTTAGTTAGTTAGTTAGTTAGTTAGTTAGTTAGTTAGTAGTTAGTTAGTTAGTTAGTTAGTTAGTTAGTTAGTTAGTTAGTTAGTAGTTAGTTAGTTAGTTAGTTAGTTAGTAGTTAGTTAGTTAGTTAGTTAGTTAGTTAGTTAGTTAGTTAGTTAGTTAGTTAGTTAGTTAGTTAGTTAGTTAGTTAGTTAGTTAGTTAGTTAGTTAGTTAGTTAGTTAGTTAGTTAGTTAGTTAGTTAGTTAGTTAGTTAGTTAGTTAGTTAGTTAGTTAGTAGTTAGTTAGTTAGTTAGTTAGTTAGTTAGTTAGTTAGTTAGTTAGTTAGTTAGTAGTTAGTTAGTTAGTTAGTTAGTTAGTTAGTTAGTTAGTTAGTTAGTTAGTTAGTTAGTTAGTTAGTTAGTTAGTTAGTTAGTTATAGTTAGTTAGTTAGTTAGTGCACCACTTTATACATTCTTATAATTCCTCCCCAAAACCATTTTAAGGAAATACTTCACATTTCTCAATAACTTTCAAACTACAATAAATTGTATTGCTTATTAACTAAATCCTTTTCAAGTTGTATATCCCATCAATATCTTTAAATTTTGCTACTCTTCTTTATATGTCTTACCAATCCTCTTCTACAACACAAAACCACTTTGTATTGTAGTTAAAACTACAACAATAGTTGATGTTTTAAATTAAATAGTTTCTAACAAGCAAAAAAAACTTTTTGCTTTAGGAAACTTTTAGGGTATTAGAAGAACAAGCAAAAAACACAAATAATCTTCTAAATAGTCAGACAAGGTACTTATATAAAAAGCAGATATGCATATAGAATAGAACAATATCCGCAAAGTTTAAGGTTATTTTCAAAACATAAAAACTTTTCAAAATTTGTTCAATAAGTTTTAAGATTTCTTGGTCAAGTTTTTTTTTAAAATGTCATTTGTTATTTAGCTAGACAAAATATTATTTGTTTAATAAATTCATAAAGAAAATACAATTTGCTATATTTAAAACAAACTAAATGAACTTTAATACAAATTTAGTTCCTTTACCTTTTCATCAGTTTCTGAGAAATATTCTCCATTTAATTTATTAATGACTTGTGCCACACCAATGACATCACCCGACGAATCCTTAATTGGCATACATAGTAGTGCTTTGGTGCGATAACCGGTCAATGTATCGATTTCACAATTAAAACGGTCATCCTGTGGGAAGAACAAAAAAAGAGAAAATAACAATTAGTATATAAAAATAGTAAAAATATTAAGTAAATATTTAAAGGCAGGGAACAAATATAAAGAGTTTTATTTTTTTTGTTTAGTATTTTAAGAAAAATATGATAAAGTTTTGTTATATTAAAGAAAAAAATAGGTTTTAATTTTAGATAATTTTTCTTTTACTTTATACTTCATACTTTAATTTTAATCCAAATATTCTTAAATAACATATCAACTTTAAGCATTAATTATTAATTCTAACATATAAGTTTATATTTTGCGGTCAGTCAGTTTCAAATAAATTATATATTTCAATACTTATTTACACATATTTCATTGTCAATATAAATTAATTCCATTAATAATTCAAATATATATATAATATTAGAAAGAAACATAGATAGATAGAAAAGCAAAAATAGAAAACTAATTCAAGGACATTTATGTCCAGTCAAAAGTTAAAAAGAACAGAACGTAACGAAAGACAGACAAAATTGTATATATATAAATCATTTATTCTGCTTGTTATATTGAATTTATATAAAAATAAAATATTTTCAACAAATAAAGAGGATTTGAAATTTAATATTCTTAAAAGTTATATATTTCAAAGAAAATCATTTCTGAATAATAAACGTTCGTTTATTAATTTAACTTAAAATAACAGCGTGACCAATAAGGGTCTATTACGTTCCGGTCGTTCTTTTCTAATTAAGAGTTAAATAGTATTAAATGGAAAATTCATAAAAGTATCCTTGAATCTATTTCAAAAAAGCATATATTACCAGACTAACCTAAGACATTTCAAAACTTCTTCTACTTTTTAAAAAAAACACCATTTCCCACCTCTTTTAATTGTAGTGTAAATTTAAAATTGTCAAATTTGCCTAACTTTTTGTTTATATTTATTTTTAATAATTGTTTAATTTGAATTATATTTTACATAAACAAAAAAGCCGCACGTTATTAAACAACATAAAATTAAATGTTAAGATATTTTATCTGCTTAATATTTGTTTATCAATTTATTATATTCCTTATTTATATTGAGAATTTTTTTGTTAATTTGTCTGTGGCTTTTGTTTGGTTTACACTGGGATTTAAGCTTCTATTTACTTAAGCGAAGCGTAATTTATGGGGCCACGGATGTTGTGTAGTTGAATACAAAATATTTCAACAGAATATTTTTGTTTATTTAAGAATTAAAAACTGTATTTATTAAAAATAAATATAAGATCGCATAAAGAGCATACAGCTATAATCAAATCAAAACTTGTGAGCTTTAAAGTATTAAAAGTATAAGTATAAAGTATAATGTATAAGTATAAGTATAATAAGTATAAAGTATAAAGTTAAAGTATAAAGTATAAAGTATAAAGTATAAAAAGTATAGTATAAAGTATAAAGTATAAAGTATTAAAGTATAAAGTATAAGTAAAGTATAAAGTATAAAGTATAAAGTATAAGTATAAAGAGTAAGGTATAAAGTATAGTAAAAGTTAAAGTATAAAGTATAAGTATAAAGTTAAAGTTAAAGTATAAAGTATAAAGTATAAGTCTAGTATAAAGTATAAAGTAGTTAAAGGAAAGTTAAAGTATAAAGTTAAAGTATAAAGTATAAAGATAAAGTATAAAGTATAAAGTATAAAGTATAAAGTATAAAGTTATAAAGTATAAGTTAAGTATTTAGTATAAAGTATAAAGTATAAAGTATAAAGTATAAAGTATAAAGTTTAAAGTAGTATAAGTATAAGTATAAAGTATAAGTATAAGTATAAGTTTAAAGTATATAGAAAGTATAAAGTATAAGTATAAAGTCTATAAATATAAAGTATAAAGTATAAAGTATTAAAGTATAAGTATACCGTCTCCCTCCCCGTCTCCCGTCTCCCGTCTCCCGTCTCCCGTCTCCCGTCTCCCGTCTCCCGTCTCCCGTCCCGTCCTCCCGTCTCCGGTCTCCCGTCTCCCGTCTCCTGTCTCCTTCTCCTGTCTCCCGTCTCCCGTCTCCGTCTCCCGTCTCCCGTCTCCCGTCTCCCGTCTCCCGTCTCCCTTCCCCGTCTCCCGTCTCCCGTCTCGTCTCCCGTCTCCCGTCTCCCGTCCCCGTCTCCCGTCTCCCGTCTCCCGTCTCCCGTCTCCCTCCCGTCTCCCGTCTCCCGTCTCCCCGTCCCCGTCTCCCGTCTCCCGTCTCCCGTCTCCCGTCTCCCGTCTCCCGTCTCCCGTCTCCGTCTCCGTCTCCCGTCTCCCGTCTCCGTCTCCCGTCTCCCGTCTCCCGTCTCCCGTCCCGTCTCCCGTCTCCCGTCTCCCGTCTCCGTCTCCGTCCTCCCGTCTCCGTCTCCCCTCTCCCGTCGTCCTGTCTGTTTTTTTAAGGACTAACCTGATATGCATCTGGTATATTAACAGGTTCACCGCTCTCAGCCACATGACCGGCAATACCAGTACCCCAAGCAATTTGAACCTCATCTTGTTGTTCCATTTCTTCGACAGTACTGCGTGGACAAACGTCAAATAATTTGGACACCAGACATCTGAAAATGTAAAAAAAAATCAAAAACATGTACTAATATTTGAGAGAAAATTAGGTTAAAACCCAAAAATTTTAAAATTTGAGAACTTAAGAATATTTTCTATATTTTAGTGCGATGGCTTATAATGATGATCATTGAAATCTAGAAGAGAGTAATATCGCCAACAAGAAGATAAAAAAAAAAATACAACAAATATCACTTAATCTCTTATTACACATTAGTTTTATATGAAAAAAGTATAACCACAGCAGTAACATTTGAAATTACTTTGTATTAAAATGAAATAGAAAAAAATTTCAAAAAATATATTAAATGAAAAACACACTATCATTGCCAAGTTAAAAAAAGAGAAGTAAAAAAAAAATAATAAAAATAAAACCAACAACACAAATGTCAGCACACATTTAAACAAAAAGTTGCATTATGCAAATTTTTTGCTTTAAATTTCCCTAATGCTGCTAAAGACGATTTCGCATTTTCTTATGCTAAAACACAACAATACAAAAATACTTTTATAATAAAAATTTAAATGAACCAACTAGAAAAAATCTAAAAGAAAACCTCGAGCCAACATTTGTTTTTAAACTACAGAAAGAACTATTGTTAAAACTATAGAAAAAATATAAAAAAAATATAGAGAGAACAAAAAAAAAGGCGTCATTATGACTCAGGCTAAAAAGTGTAAATTCATATTAGAAATGTAGCTGGAGGATTAATGAAACAAAAAAAAAAATGGAAGAAAAAGAAAACAATAATACAAAAACTATAATAAATCATTTTCTTTTTTTTCACATTTTACAAACTATTTTTTTATGTGAATAACGCAGAAAAATCATTTAAAAGTTTTTAATTTGAAAATCCATGGTGGCGTATGATTAATATTAATTATATATAAATGTGAATGTTAAACGTTTGTTTTGCTATTGTTAAGTGTTTTTTTAACATAATTATGTTTTGTTATCTAAAGGAAAATTTACTTTGTTAAGAACAATGTTTTTCTCAGAAAAGTTGATCAAGGCAAGAGGAATTTGCCTTAAGAAATGTTGCTCAAATGTTGAGGACTTATCTCAAGAAAATAGTTTAGAGCAATTTTCTATAGGAAATGTTGCTCTAGTCTAGGGCAGTTTTCTACAGGAAAAGTTGCTCTAATTTAGAGCAATTCTCTATAGGAAAAGTTGTTCTAGAATAGAGCAATTTTCAACAGAAATAGTTACTCTAGAAAAGAGCAATTTTGTATAGAAAAAGCAATTTTCTATAGAAAAAGTAGCTCTAGTGTAGAGCAATTTTCTATAGAAAAAGTCGCTGTAGTCTAGAGCAATTTTCTATAAGAAAAGTGTATATAGTATAGAGCATTTTCTATAGGAAAATTGCTCTAGTCTAGAGCAGTACTCTAGTGGATCTAATATAGAGCAATTTTCTATAGAAAAAGTTGCTCTAATATAGAGCAATTTTCTATAGAAAAAGTTGCTCTAATATAGAGCAATTTTCTATAGAAAAAGTTGCTCTAATATAGAGCAATTTTCTATAGGAAAAGTTGCTCTAATATAGAGCAATTTTTTATAGGAAAAGTTGCTCTAATATAGAGCAATTTTTTATAGGAAAAGTTGCTCTAATCTAGAGCAATCTTCCATAGGAAAAGTTGGTCTAGTCTGGAGCAATTGTCTATAGCAAAAGTTGCTCTAGAATAAGGCAATTTTGTATAGAAAAAGTTGCTCTAGGATAAGGCAATTTTGTATAAAAATAGAATAGAGCAATTGTCAATAGAAAAAGTTGCTCAAGAAAAGAGCAATTTTCTATAGAAAAAATTACTCTAACCTAGAGCAATTTTCTATAAAAACTTGCTCTTTTCTAAAAGTTGCTCTAGATAAGGGCAAGTAAAGAAAAGTATATCTAGTCTATACCATTTTCTATAGGAAAAGATGTTCTAGTCAAGAACAATTTTCTAAGAAAAGGAAAAGTTGCTGTAGTCTAGATCAATTTTCTATAGGAAAAGTAGCTCTAGTCTAGGGCAATATTCTACAGGAAAAGTTGCTCAAGTTTAGAGCAATATTATATAAGAAAAGTTGATCTGGTCTAGAGCAATTTTCTATAGGAAAAGTTACTCTAGCTTAGAGTAATTCTCTATAGGAAAAATTACTCTAGTCTAGAGCAATTTTCTAGATGAAAAGTTGCTTTAGTATAGAGCAATTTTCTATAGGAAAAGTTGCTTTAATCTAGATAATTTTCTATAGGAAGATTTCTCTAGTTCAGAGCAATTCCATAAAGGAAAAGTCGCTTTAGTCTAGATAATTTTCTATAGGAAGATTGCTCTAGTTCAGAGCAATTCCATAAAGGAAAAGTTGATCTACTCTAGAGCAATTTTCTAGAGGAGAAGTTGCTTTGGTAGAGTACATTTTGCGAAATCCAATCAAATTTAAATTGTTGCAAAATATGATAAAAAATAGAATATCAAACTAAATCTAACGTGTTTGCCACAAAAACTATCATCACTTTCTCTGAAAAAATAAAGAAATGCCTCCATTTAACATTATTACTTTTTTTACCACAGCATAACATAAATCTCAATTGTGCAACCTCATGTTTATAACTTCATTGTATTGAGCACTTTTCGTTGTATCTCTCCATCTCTCTACACATTAAAACATGTTTTTTATTTTAGTTTTATACTAAAGTGTCAAGGTCATTCACGTGATTAATTAGTAGGAAAGCTGCAACTGAACATTGCAAAATATACGAACATACTGACACTCACATATATAGAAAAGTCTGGACCAAAAATCCCATTTTCAATAACATGAACAACATGTTAAATGGCAGTACAAAGGAGAAAATGCATACACGTTCACAGACATACATACGAACATACAAGTATATTTAGAAAGAGAGCAAAGCTAATGTGTAAATGTATGTTCGTACGTTTAAATGAATATGCCTGAAAGTATGCTTCATGCATCTATTGTTTCATATGAGTTCATTAAAGAAATGTATAGAACTAACATTAGTAGTCTATTGTTGTTGCTGTTGCTGTTAAATGAACAAATGGAACAAAAATAAAGGAACGTGCTACCAAATACAATAATAAACCTGTGATATACTTGTTTTTTGCTGAGTTTTTCCTTTATTATTAACTACAACAACATTTCTCTGGTGCTGGTCGATTGTGGCAAAAATATAAAGAGAGAGTATAAAATATCACTGCAAACAAAAGGTTTAAAGAGGTGGCTCTTTAAACTACCATTTCTTCTCTGTATAGCTGACATACCAAATGCTTCTATACACTTTAGCACTAGGGAATAACTAAAGTTGTTATGAGAATTATTAAACCGTAACGAGGAAGTGCAAAAAATGGCAATTATCTTTATAAGCAAGTGAGGCAGTTAAACAGAAATATTTTGAAGAAAATCTAATAAATAATGATAATGACAAAAATACAATTCTGCAAGTCACCTTTATGTTAATAAAAATATGACATTTTTTAATTTTTAAGATTTAAACTAACACAACAGTTTACTTAAACACTTTCCTTACTTCCTAGACATCTTCTACAGCAAATTTATTAAATATCTAAATAGTCCTTATATGTATAAGCTAATTTCTCTAATAAATTTAATATTTTCTCTTATTTTTTCATGCTCGCAAACTGCTTATTATAGATAATAAAATATTTATTATAATATAACTCATACGTTATGGTGTACTTGAAATTTTATAACGACTAAAGGAAAAAAAAATCAATATCACTTTTACGCATAGTCGAACATACACATACGGATATAAATAATTTTTCTTTTTTTTTCCAAAACTTTTTTATTAAACAAAAGCATTTTCCTGCAAAATAAATTTCTATTTCTAAAATGTTTCTTTTAAATTTATGTTGTGTTAACACAAAAATCACAATCGTTGGTATGTAATAAGTACATGCAGTGACAAAATCATACATTTAAATGAAATCAAATAAAAAAATATCTTTTTTTATGTTTTGGTTAGAAAAAAACTTTTGAATATTGATGAACTTGTTAAAAAGTATAAGGGAGGGAAAAAAAGTTTAAAACAAATGAAAATCATGGCCATAGTATATTTCATGCTTTTTGTACACAAAATACAAATTTTAAAAGCATTTACATGTTTTATTTATTAATAAGGAAAAACTTTCTTGGACAACATTAAATCAAAAATAAAAAAACAATAAAAAACATATATTTAAGTTTCTTATACTCATGATGGAATAAAATTAAGATTTAAAGCGCTTAAGAAAGATAAAATTCCAGTTTAGAATTAGTACAGTTTTAATTCTAGTTCAGTTCTGGTTCAGTTCTAGTAGTTCTAGTCAGTTCTAGTTCAGTTCTAGTTCAGTTCTAGTTCAGTTCTAGTTCAGTTCTAGTTCAGTTCTAGTTCAGTTCTAGTTCAGTTCTAGTTCAGTTCTAGTTCAGTTCTAGTTCAGTTCTAGTTCAGTTCTAGTTCAGTTCTAGTTCAGTTCTAGTTCAGTTCTAGTTCAGTTCTAGTTCAGTTCTAGTTCAGTTCTAGTTCAGTTCTAGTTCAGTTCTAGTTCAGTTCTAGTTCAGTTCTAGTTCAGTTCTAGTTCAGTTCTAGTTCAGTTCTAGTTCAGTTCTAGTTCAGTTCTAGTTCAGTTCTAGTTCAGTTCTAGTTCAGTTCTAGTTCAGTTCTAGTTCAGTTCTAGTTCAGTTCTAGTTCAGTTCTAGTTCAGTTCTAGTTCAGTTCTAGTTCAGTTCTAGTTCAGTTCTAGTTCAGTTCTACTTCAGTTCTAGTTCAGTTCTAGTTCAGTTCTAGTTCAGTTCTAGTTCAGTTCTAGTTCAGTTCCAGTTCAGTTCTAGTTCAGTTCTAGTTCAGTTCTAGTTCAGTTCTAGTTCAGTTCTAGTTCAGTTCTAGTTCAGTTCTAGTTCAGTTCTAGTTCAGTTCTAGTTCAGTTCTAGTTCAGTTCTAGTTCAGTTCTAGTTCAGTTCTAGTTCAGTTCTAGTTCAGTTCTAGTTCAGTTCTAGTTCAGTTAGTTCAGTTCTAGTTCAGTTCTAGTTCAGTTTAGTTCAGTTCTAGTTCAGTTCTAGTTCAGTTCTAGTTCAGTTCTAGTTCAGTTCTAGTTCAGTTCTAGTTCAGTTCTAGTTCAGTTCTAGTTCAGTTCTAGTTCAGTTCTAGTTCAGTTCTAGTTCAGTTCTAGTTCAGTTCTAGTTCAGTTCTAGTTCAGTTCTAGTTCAGTTCTAGTTCAGTTCTAGTTCAGTTCTAGTTCAGTTCTAGTTAGTTCTAGTTCAGTTCTCGTTCAGTCTCGTTCAGTTCTAGTTCAGTTCTAGTTCAGTTCTAGTTCAGTTCTAGTTCAGTTCTAGTTCAGTTCTAGTTGAGTTCTAGTTGAGTTCTAGTTCAGTTCTAGTTCAGTTCTAGTTCAGTTCTAGTTCAGTTCTAGTTCAGTTCTAGTTCAGTTCTAGTCAGGTCTAGTTCAGTTCTAGTTCATCTAGTCAGGTTCTAGTTCAGTTCTAGTTCAGTTCTAGTTCAGTTCTAGTTCAGTTCTAGTTCAGTTCTAGTTCAGTTCTAGTTCAGTTCTAGTTCAGTTCTAGTTCAGTTCTAGTTCAGTTTCTAGTTCAGTTCTAGTTCAGTTCTAGTTCAGTTTAGTTCAGTTCTAGTTCAGTTCTAGTTAAGTTCTAGTTCAGTTCTAGTTCAGTTTCTAGTTCAGTTCTAGTTCAGTTCAGTCAGTTCTAGTTCAGTTCTAGTTCAGTCTAGTTCAGTTCTAGTTCAGTTCTAGCTTCAGTTCTAGTTCAGTTTCTAGTTCAGTTCTAGTTCAGTTCTAGTTCAGTTCTAGTTCAGTTCTAGTTCAGTTCTAGTTCAGTTCTAGGTCAGTTCTAGTTTCAGTTTCTAGTTCAGTTCTAGTTCAGTTCTAGTTCAGTTCTAGTTCAGTTCTAGTTCAGTTCTAGTTCCAAGTTTCTAGTTCAGTTCTAGTTCAGTTTTCTCGTTCAGTTCTAGTTCAGTTTCTAGTTCAGGTTCCTAGTTCTTCAAGTTCAGTTCTTCAGTTCTAGTTCAGTTCTATAGTAGTTCAGTTCTAGTTCAGTTCTAGTTCAGTTCTAGTTCAGTTCTAGTTCAGTTCTAGTTCAGTTCTAGTTCAGTTCTAGTTCAGTTCTAGTTCAGTTCTAGTTCAGTTCTAGTTCAGTTCTAGTTCAGTTCTAGTTCAGTTCTAGTTCAGTTCTAGTTCAGTTCTAGTTCAGTTCTAGTACAGTTCTAGTTCAGTTCTAGTTCAGTTCTAGTTCAGTTCTAGTTCAGTTCTAGTTCAGTTCTAGTTCAGTTCTAGTTCAGTTCTAGTTCAGTTCTAGTTCAGTTCTAGTTCAGTTCTAGTTCAGTTCTAGTTCAGTTCTAGTTCAGTTCTAGTTCAGTTCTAGTTCAGTTCTAGTTCAGTTCTAGTTCAGTTCTAGTTCAGTTCTAGTTCAGTTCTAGTTCAGTTCTAGTTCAGTTCTAGTTCAGTTCTAGTTCAGTTCTAGTTCTAGTTCAGTTCTAGTTCAGTTCTTCTAGTTCAGTTCTAGTTCAGTTCTAGTTCAGTTCTAGTTCAGTTCTAGTTCAGTTCTAGTTCAGTTCTAGTTCAGTTCTAGTTCAGTTCTAGTTCAGTTCTAGTTCAGTTCTAGTTCAGTTCTAGTTCAGTTCTAGTTCAGTTCTAGTTCAGTTCTAGTTCAGTTCTAGTTCAGTTCTAGTTCAGTTCTAGTTCAGTTCTAGTTCAGTTCTAGTTCAGTTCTAGTTCAGTTCTAGTTCAGTTCTAGTTCAGTTCTAGTTCAGTTCTAGTTCAGTTCTAGTTCAGTTCTAGTTCAGTTCTAGTTCAGTTCTAGTTCAGTTCTAGTTCAGTTCTAGTTCAGTTCTAGTTCAGTTCTAGTTCAGTTCTAGTTCAGTTCTAGTTCAGTTCTAGTTCAGTTCTAGTTCAGTTCTCTAGTTCAGTTCTAGTTCAGTTCAGTTCGTTCAGTTCAGTTCTAGTTCAGTTCTAGTTCAGTTCTAGTTCAGTTCTAGTTCAGTTCTAGTTCAGTTCTAGTTCAGTTCTATTCAGTTCTAGTTCAGTTCTGTTCAGTTCTAGTTCATTCTAGTTCAGTTCTAGTTCAGTTCTAGTTTCAGTTCTAGTTCAGTCTAGTTCAGTTCTAGTTCAGTACTTGTTCAGTTCTAGGTCAGTTCTGTGAAACATAAAGAAAAAATGGTAAATCAAAATTTATAAATGTATTAAAAAAACCTTGGAAATGAAAGCTATAATAAATGTCAATGTGAAACTAATCAAAGCTAAAATGTATTTAATACCTCGAAACTAAACTAAACGCATACTTATATTAATAATACATGCATACATACAAATGCATATAAAACTAAACAAAACTTTATAAACATTTACTTACTTCTTTGGTCCATCATTGCCACCGCCACACGTCCTTGCACCAAAAACAATGAACCCACGATCAGCATTAATAATATTGAAAATTTTGCAAAATTTTATGACATAAAGTACGAACTTCCAATTCATTGCATATGTCCTTTACCTAAAAGTTCCAGCATTAAGACATAGCAGCCAAACAAACATGTGCCAAAGTAATAACCAAGTAGCCAGCCATAATTCAACACCCGACGAAAGTGTTGACAACCAAGTTGAAATAGGGTTGGAGCACGTAGAGTTCGAAAAGAAATGGTGGTGGCAATAACAATTGTAAGAGAACATTGCATTGAATTTGCAGCAAACATTGTAACACCATTGATATTTAATGAAAATTATCAACAGCAGCAGCATCAGTGGTTGCACCATCGCAACATATTGTTGTAATGAAGTTGTTAAAGTTGTAGAAACGTACCAAAAGAGAAAAAAATAAATAAAATAAAACTTATATTAGTTGAATTCTTTATGTTGTTGTTTCAGTTATTGTTTAGTTATTGTTTTTTGTTTAAAGTTTACAAGTTTATTTTCTTAATTAATGGTTATTACCAGCAAGAGACAACACAATTTATACTATAGATAGCTATCACGAAGAAAAAAGAGGTTTCTTTATAATTGTTTTGTTTGAAAATACATTATTGCTGGCGAATGAGTAATAATTAAATGTTGTTAAACAGTAATATTAAGTATAGCACAGAGGTCCAAACTGCAAATAATGCAGTTTTTTTGGGGAATATTTTATGAATTGAAATTGAATTTAGTTAAATATTTTGATGTGTTAATACCTTTTATTAAAACCATGCTTTTAAGTTAAAATTAAGACATTTACATTATGCCTACATTATGGCATTTTTAGACTTCTTATGTACTTAAAATAATACTTCATTTTCTATTTGAATCAAAATATTTAAGAAGCTTAATTAATTTTATATAGAGTTCTAGTTCAGTTCTAGATCAGTTCTAGTTCAATTCTAGTTCAGTTCTAGTTCAGTTCTAGTTCAGTTCTAGTTCAGTTCTAGTTCAGTTCTAGTTCAGATCTAGTTCAGTTCTAGTTCAGTTCTAGTTCAGTTCTAGTTCAGATCTAGTTCAGTCTAGTTCAGTTCTAGTTTCAGTTCTAGTGCAGTTCTAGTTCAGTTCTAGTTCAGTTCTAGTTCAGTTCTAGTTCAGTTCTAGTTCAGTTCTAGTTCAGTTCTAGTTCAGTTCTAGTTCAGTTCTAGTTCAGTTCTAGTTCAGTTCTAGTTCAGTTCTAGATCAGTTCTAGTTCAGTTCTAGTTCAGTTCTAGTTCAGTTCTAGTTCAGTTCTAGTTCAGTTCTAGTTCAGTTCTAGTTCAGTTCTAGTTCAGTTCTAGTTCAGTTCTAGTTCAGTTCTAGTTCAGTTCTAGTTCAGTTCTAGTTCAGTTCTAGTTCAGTTTCTAGTTCAGTTCTAGTTCAGTTCTAGTTCAGTTCTAGTTCAGTTCTAGTTCAGTTTCTAGTTCAGTTCTAGTTCAGTTCTAGTTCAGTTCTAGTTCAGTTCTAGTTCAGTTCTAGTTCAGTTCTAGTTCAGTTCTAGTTCAGTTCTAGTTCAGTTCTAGTTCAGTTCTAGTTCAGTTCTAGTTCAGTTCTAGTTCAGTTCTAGTTCAGTTCTAGTTCAGTTCTAGTTCAGTTCTAGTTCAGTTCTAGTTCAGTTCTAGTTCAGTTCTAGTTCAGTTCTAGTTCAGTTCTAGTTCAGTTCTAGTTCAGTTCTAGTTCAGTTCTAGTTCAGTTCTAGTTCAGTTCTAGTTCAGTTCTAGTTCAGTTCTAGTTCAGTTCTAGTTCAGTTCTAGTTCAGTTCTAGTTCAGTTCTAGTTCAGTTCTAGTTCAGTTCTAGTTCAGTTCTAGTTCAGTTCTAGTTCAGTTCTAGTTCAGTTCTAGTTCAGTTCTAGTTCAGTTCTAGTTCAGTTCTAGTTCTAGTTCAGTTCTAGTTCAGTTCTAGTTCAGTTCTAGTTCAGTTTGTAGTTCAGTTCTAGTTCAGTTCTAGTTCAGTTCTAGTTCAGTTCTAGTTCAGTTCTAGTTCAGTTCTAGTTCAGTTCTAGTTCAGTTCTAGTTCAGTTCTAGTTCAGTTCTAGTTCAGTTCTAGTTCAGTTCTAGTTCAGTTCTAGTTCAGTTCTAGTTCAGTTCTAGTTCAGTTCTAGTTCAGTTCTAGTTCAGTTCTAGTTCAGTTCTAGTTCAGTTCTAGTTCAGTTCTAGTTCAGTTCTAGTTCAGTTCTAGTTCAGTTCTAGTTCAGTTCTAGTTCAGTTCTAGTTCAGTTTCTAGTTCAGTTCTAGTTCAGTTCTAGTTCAGTTCTAGTTCAGTTCTAGTTCAGTTCTAGTTCATTGTACATATTTCAGTTCTAGTTCGATTTTTTTATTATGAGCGCTGAGTTATATTTTTATAATTTCTGCGTATGATTAATTCTCTGTAACCAACAACACTCATACGTTTCGAATTGTTTTCTTACGTTGGCACCCCTTCATAAACATTCCCCCTTTTGAGTACTTATTTCTTATCCAACACACACACTCACTCTCAAACATCTTAGACAATACCTTACCAATTCAAATATTAATTCCTTTTCATCCAATTGCTTTAGTTCATTGCGCGACAAACGTTGCGGTCGATAGTGATTGTGATGATTATGATGATACGAATGTGTTCCAATACCCGTCTGTTGACTATTAGAATGATGATGATTGTTATGATGATACTGTGTATTACTACCATAATATTAGTACCAAACTACCGCCACGACTACCAACACCACCAGCGTCACCACTGCCACCCGTAATACCACCACCAAAACCGCCGCTACCAACACCACAGCTACCAGTACCAGCACTTACACTACCGTTGCTGGTACTAGAACTCATATTGTTTGAACAATCGTTTGTGGGTCCTATACTCAGGAAGGTGGGTGTACCATCTATAGTATTGACAATGGGTTTTAGTAAACCGCCACGTTCAAATTCATGGGCAGATATTTTTCTAGAATGAGAGGAAAGGAGAAAGAAACAAGAGTTATGACTTTTTATCTTTATAATAGGCAATTTTTTGATACTTTTATGATAACGATTTTTATAGAAATACGTATTAATTGAAATAAAACTGTTTATCTGTAGATTTATTTAGGAATTAGAAAAGTTTTATGCTTTAAATTTATTTTTCCCTTTGATTTAAAAGACTTGCTTAATAATCACGGCAGATAAATTCCTTTTTCTTAATAATATGTTTAATTCCAATCAAACTGTCTATCATTACTAATACTATTTACATTTCCTTTGTAATGTATATTGATTAAATTTCCGTTAACATACAAATTTCCTTTTTGAAATCATTGCCAAGAAATTTAAGATTATTTTAGTCTTCCATATATTACTATTTATAAAACATTAAACATCTTGTACAGCCATTTTTAACATTCATTTAAATTCGTTTTTCTTTCTTCTAACTTTTCATCCAATCACTAGATATTCCATCACAATTTGACAAGTTTTTTTTTTACTCATGATGAAAATGTAAAAATCCATTTTACTATGACAAAAACACCCTTTCTGGCAAAAACTATAGAACTATGGCAACTGCATAAAAACTGTCATTAGTAAAACGAACAAAAAAGTAGGTAACTGGTAAAAAAAAAAAACTCTTAAATAAGCCATCACAACATGTCAACTAACATCAGTAATACAAAAAAAAAAAAAAGAATGAAAAGACTGTATAAAACAACTACCATTCATAATGGCTTAGCTGTGAACAGCTACTCGGCAGTTCTAGGAATTACTTCCAGGAAGTTGAATTACACTCTAAAGAATTCAATTTTGTATATCGCTAATATTCATGCAAAATAAATACCAAAAAAACTAAAACGTTGTACATTTACACTTTAAAAACTGCCAGATCCATACATCAACTTCAAACACCACACACTTATATAATTACAATTACAGTTATACACTATTGTATTTAATGGTACTCATAACTGTAGTAGGACGAGGAACATTTAAATAGCAAAATGATTTCCACTTTATCTTGTTTATATTAATACCCTACACCACTACCGCAAATATCGTTTGTGTAGCTATTGTCAACATCTAATCAACTGGCCACCCATCTTTCCATGTAAACCTTTTAACATAATTTTAATAAATATGGAGTTATTATGATTATGATGGACCCAATTATAAAAGCTTCATATACAATCACATAATATTATCATCATTGTTACCTAATTAAGATAAATACTTTAAAAACGTTTTTAAATCCTTTAAGAATTGGATCATAATAAATTTCATGCCTTAATACTGACGGCTCTGATGTAGATTATCACATAGTCAGGTTTGCTCTATTTTCGTTTAGTTTGTTGAATAGCCCAACATAAATAGGTTTCGCTGTTAGTAATGTAGTGTTTGTTTTTTTTTTGCTATAAACAAAAGCAACAATGTTAAAAAACCAAGAAAAACAAGTAAGAATCGTATATACCCTTCACCCTAGTGTATTTAAAAATATTAATTTTATAAAATTTCAATTTATTTCATTTTCCCGACTCTATCATTTATTTACAATAGCAAAACAAACTAAACAACAACAACGCTAACCCAAATAAAACAAAAAAAAACAAAAACACTAAAGGACTCAGACAATATCTGGGGTCTTCGGAAAACTGACGGACAGACAGACATACGCACATTTCTTAATCGACTCCGCTATCTATAAGGATTCAGAATTATATACTTTATAGGGTCGGAAGATTATATTTCGGAAATTACAAACGGAATGACAAACTTACATATACACTTTTCACGAAGGTAAAGGGTATGAAAAATATACTTAACAGTATTCCAGCACAATCACATAAGTGTAATGCTATGAAAACATAAAGGGTTTTCCAATAAGGAAATTCAAATCCGTCTGAATGGATCAATGACTTATTTAATTTTGTACTTCAGGGCACTGGCCGATTGCGAACTAGACCTGAACTGGAACTGTACTAGAACTGTACTAAAACTGAACTAGAACTGAACTAGAACTGAACTAGAACTGAACTAGAACTGAACTAGAACTGAACTAGAACTGAACTAGAACTGAACTAGAACTGAACTAGAACTGAACTAGAACTGAACTAGAACTGAACTAGAACTGAACTAGAACTAGAACTGAACTAGAACTGAACTAGAACTGAACTAGAACTGAACTAGAACTGAACTAGAACTGAACTAGAACTGAACTAGAACTGAACTAGAACTGAACTAGAACTGAACTAGAACTGAACTAGAACTGAACTAGAACTGAACTAGAACTGAACTAGAACTGAACTAGAACTGAACTAGAACTGAACTAGAACTGAACTAGAACTGAACTAGAACTGAACTAGAACTGAACTAGAACTGAACTAGAACTGAACTAGAACTGAACTAGAACTGAACTAGAACTGAACTAGAACTGAACTAGAACTGAACTAGAACTGAACTAGAACTGAACTAGAACTGAACTAGAACTGAACTAGAACTGAACTAGAACTGAACTAGAACTGAACTAGAACTGAACTAGAACTGAACTAGAACTGAACTAGAACTGAACTAGAACTGAACTAGAACTGAACTAGAACTGAACTAGAACTGAACTAGAACTGAACTAGAACTGAACTAGAACTGAACTAGAACTAAACTAGAACTGAACTAGAACTGGACTAGAACTGAACTAGAACTGAACTAGAACTGAACTAGAACTGAACTAGAACTGAACTAGAACTGAACTAGAACTGAACTAGAACTGAACTAGAACTGAACTAGAACTGAACTAGAACTGAACTAGAACTGAACTAGAACTGAACTAGAACTGAACTAGAACTGAACTAGAACTGAACTAGAACTGAACTAGAACTGAACTAGAACTGAACTAGAACTGAACTAGAACTGAACTAGAACTGAACTAGAACTGAACTAGAACTGAACTAGAACTGAACTAGAACTGAACTAGAAGTTAACTAGAACTGAACTAGAACTGAACTAGAACTGAACTAGAACTGAACTAGAACTGAACTAGAACTGAACTAGAACTGAACTAGAACTGAACTAGAACTGAACTAGAACTGAACTAGAACTGAACTAGAACTGAACTAAGAGCTAGAACTGAACTAGAACTGAACTAGAACTGAACTAGAACTGAACTAGAACTGAACTAGAACTGAACTAGAACTGAACTAGAACTGAACTAGAATTGAACTAGAACTGAACTAGAACTGAACTAGAACTGAACTAGAACTGAACTAGAACTGAACTAGAACTGAACTAGAACTGAATAATTAACAGAAAATACACCTACATATATGTACCTACAGAAACATGTATCTTACTGAAACTATTTGTAAATCCTAAAATTACAATTATTATTCTTTCATCATAAAAATGCATATTTCTTTATTATCTCAGACTACACCCACCTATGATATTTAAAAAAGACATTTTGTATGCCAAAAAAAATACACAATATTACAGACTCTACTCTACAACCACTGTAAACAATTATTTGTGTGGTTTCGATATTTGATACGTTTTTAATGAAACCAATTTGAGAAACGCAGGCAGCGGCACTTTTGTGGCAGGATATTTGGATTAAAAATAAAAACTCAAATATTGGCATTCATCATCAATATCTATTAGGGGATAAGAACCAGCACAAACATCAAATACACTATTGATTTGAGAGAATAATAAAATAAAAAAAAAAATAGAAAAAATACATAATTATAATTGATAACCCATAAACTATGTATATCGAAAACGCACATATGAATGATTAGTGCAGTAGATCCATCAAAATTTTATGTTTACCAGCCATAATTAATAAAATTTAATACAAATAAAAATGCAAAACGGCTGACAGCGACCATTAAAACATTTATGGTACTCAAACTGAAAATCTACGCTGAAAATAATCAAGGGCCATTTTCACGAAAAAATTTCGGAACTAAATGTTCACCTATATAACGAAAATAGTTCAGTTCTATTTCAGTTATAGTCTTAGTTCAGTTCTAATTCAGTTCTAGTTCAGATCTAGTTCAGTTCTAGTTCAGTTCTAGTTCAGTTCTAGTTCAGTTCTAGTTAGTTCTAGTTCAGTTCTAGTTCAGTTCTAGTTCAGTTCTAGTTCAGTTCTAGTTCAGTTCTAGTTCAGTTCTAGTTCAGTTCTAGTTCAGTTCTAGTTCAGTTCTAGTTCATTCTAGTTCAGTTCTAGTTCAGTTCTAGTTCAGTTCTAGTTCAGTTCTAGTTCAGTTCTAGTTCAGTTCTAGTTCAGTTCTAGTTCAGTTCTAGTTCAGTTCTAGTTCAGTTCTAGTTCAGTTCTAGTTCAGTTCTAGTTCAGTTCAGTTCTAGTTCAGTTCTAGTTCAGTTCTAGTTCAGTTCTAGTTCAGTTCTAGTTCAGTTCTAGTTCAGTTCTAGTTCAGTTCTAGTTCAGTTCTAGTTCAGTTCTAGTTCAGTTCTAGTTCAGTTCTAGTTCAGTTCTAGTTCAGTTCTAGTTCAGTTCTAGTTCAGTTCTAGTTCAGTTCTAGTTCAGTTCTAGTTCAGTTCTAGTTCAGTTCTAGTTCAGTTCTAGTTCAGTTCTAGTTCAGTTCTAGTTCAGTTCTAGTTCAGTTCTAGTTCAGTTCTAGTTCAGTTCTAGTTCAGTTCTAGTTCAGTTCTAGTTCAGTTCTAGTTCAGTTCTAGTTCAGTTCTAGTTCAGTTCTAGTTCAGTTCTAGTTCAGTTCTAGTTCAGTTCTAGTTCAGTTCTAGTTCAGTTCTAGTTCAGTTCTAGTTCAGTTCTAGTTCAGTTCTAGTTCAGTTCTAGTTCAGTTCTAGTTCAGTTCTAGTTCAGTTCTAGTTCAGTTCTAGTTCAGTTCTAGTTCAGTTCTAGTTCAGTTCTAGTTCAGTTCTAGTTCAGTTCTAGTTCAGTTCTAGTTCAGTTCTAGTTCAGTTCTAGTTCAGTTCTAGTTCAGTTCTAGTTCAGTTCTAGTTCAGTTCTAGTTCAGTTCTAGTTCAGTTCTAGTTCAGTTCTAGTTCAGTTCTAGTTCAGTTCTAGTTCAGTTCTAGTTCAGTTTAGTTAGTTCAGTTCTAGTTCAGTTCTAGTTCAGTTCTAGTTCAGTTCTAGTTCAGTTCTAGTTCAGTTCTAGTTCAGTTCTAGTTCAGTTCTAGTTCAGTTCTAGTTCAGTTCTAGTTCAGTTCTAGTTCAGTTCTAGTTCAGTTCTAGTTCAGTTCTAGTTCAGTTTAGTTCAGTTCTAGTTCAGTTCTAGTTCAGTTCTAGTTCAGTTCCAGATAAGTTCCAGTTCAGTTCTAGTTCAGTTCTATTCTATTTCCTTATATAGCAGAACTTTTTTTATACTGATCTCATAATTTTTCTCAGTGTAACTTATATCTTACATTATGAAAAAAAAACATAAGCTAAAACTACATAAATAATTCATTATGCGACTAACAATTCGAATTTAAAACTTACCTAACGGGTGTTGTGGCTCCAGAACCAACCACGTGATGAGCAATTTTGTCCATTCGGATGTGTTGGGTGATGTATTGGATGTATCGTTGCCAGCTGTAGTCGCATGAGAAACTAACCAGGCATCAACGACTTGACGTGTGGCTTTTCTATTGTGCACAAAAAAAAAAAAGAAAAAATGGAAAACAGAGAGAAAAAAGAAATAAATAAAAATGATATTACACAAATGGAGGTGGTAAAAACAATATCAACAAAATATGTAAGTAAAAGAAAAATTAATATTTTCGTTATGAAAAAATAGAGATAAGGATTTGTTTTCAATTGCTGGTGGTTTTTGTTGCTATTATTTTTCCATTGAAACAAAAGCGATGTTTTATCTATGGCAAAATGTCAATAATATTGAGTTGAATGATAGTTGCTTATACAGTCTATTTTTGTTTCTTTTGTTATTTAATATTTTACAAAGTGAGTGGTGGGTGAAGGATGAAAACAAAAAAAAAATATAATATGGATTACAGATATTAAATTGATGATGAAGAGGTGTAACTAGGTAACTGACATATTTTTTGTTTTAGTTTTAAACAAAATATAATGATTTATGTCCAGTGGTGTTATTTCAGTGCTGAAGACCTCATGTTTGCAAAACATTTTTTAGTTAGGAGGTATCAATCTTTCACTATCAAAATAAAGACATGTGTTTATTCATTTTGTGTGCTTTTTTGAAACCAGCTTAATGTATTCAATCTGCTCAATATTAACTTTTGCTGGAGAATGGAGGATTTGTGTGCGTGTTCACATACATGCATATTGTATTAAATACTTTCGCAATATAACAAATTATAACAATATCTATACAATTAACTTAATTAATATTTAATTAAATCAAATACTGAAACAAATTAAGCGTGTATGAAACATGAAAAAAAAGAACAGAAGAAGAACCAAGAATTATGATGAAATACACCAAATTGATTAAAATATTTTCAGAGTTTCTTTCTATAAAAGAAAATTACAAAAATGTTTAACAAATAAGAAAATCCTTATTAATTTTTCTTCTTTCAACAAAAACCAAAAAATTAATTATTACATGCAGACAGACAGACAGACATTCTTACTTACCTAATGAAATAATCCTGAACAAATTCTTGATTTTCATCCATCCACGATTCCATGCGTGCATATTCCGGATCATATTGACGTTGTGGCGATGAGAGCGGGTTATTGAGACACGTTGTTGAGGAATTGGAATTTTGATGTTGATAGAGATGTGGATGAGGATGATGATGATTATAGTGCTGTAGTTGATACTGATGCTGATGCTGTTGTTGCTGTTGCTGCTGGTGATGATGATTTTGATATATGGCCAGGGGGACACCGGTACGACTGCTTAACAAGAGATTTTGTTCGGAACCATAACCTGTGCCCCCCAGCTCCGCTGGCATTCTGCCACTGTTATTATTACTACTGTTATTATTACTATTGCTACTGCTATTATTACTACTGCTATTATTATAACTATGTGGACTATTTAGTGTAAAACAATTGAGCTGTTGTGGGTTCTTCAATGCTGCGCAAATGTAAACCTGTAAAAGAGAAGAAAAGAAAATAAATGAATTTAAATTTCTTCTTGTTTTTCAATGGTCTTAATTTATTTTAGGTTTTTTTTTTCTTAGTTTTACTATTTATTTGTTGGTTTTTTATGCATCACCACTAGTGGCTTTTTTGTAAATAACGCCTTTAGCATTTACTACATGTACAACTATGTTGCAAACTTTTCTTTTATTGCAACTTTCTCGTTCGTTCGTTCATTCATTCGTTTGTTTGTTATTCATATGTAAATTTATTTACACATGCTGAACTTTTCAAATTGAATTCAGTCAGTGTTTATTCGCTTTTAGGAATTTCAATGAAAAGTTTTGTTAAAAAGTAACAAATATTTACCAGATATGCATGTTAGTATACACATATTTTCTATTTTTTGTAAATCATAGCAATTCATCTTAATATAAATGCAATTTAAAGTTTAAAGTTAAAGATGAGAATAATAAGTAAAATGTGATTACAATAAAATTAGTTTGCATAAGGCTGAAAGTGTTACAAAAGTATGTATTTAATTTAAAAGAGAATAGTTTTGGTTTTGATTTCCATAACTGAAGTATGGTCTGACCATCTCTGTCCGTTACTTAACTTCTGGGATTCTTCAGATGTAACATTTACGTTTACAACCATGCAGGTCGAATGGACTCCGTTGATTCAACAATACCACCTAAAGACGTAATCTGTAGACCGCAGAAGGAACCAATCAAATAAGCCAAGGGCAAGTGCTAACTCACACGCACACATATTGGTAAGTGTGGTGTGAACAGAGTACATCAGTTCTAATAAAGAAGGGAAATTTGACGATGATACATGAATGAGATATCGTACAACCACAAACACCAGAGAAAAATATCCGACACAATCATGCGGGTTGAGCTCCAGTCCTAGTTCTGGTTCAGTTCTAGTTCAGTTCTAGTTCAGTTCTAGTTCAGTTCTAGCTCAGTTCTAGTTCAGTTCTAGTTCAGTTCTAGTTCAGTTCTAGTTCAGTTCTAGTTCAGTTCTAGTTCAGTTCTAGTTCAGTTCTAGTTCAGTTCTAGTTCAGTTCTAGTTCAGTTCTAGTTCAGTTCTAGTTCAGTTCTAGTTCAGTTCTAGTTCAGTTCTAGTTCAGTTCTAGTTCAGTTCTAGTTCAGTTCTAGTTCAGTTCTAGTTCTAGTTCAGTTCTAGTTCAGTTCTAGTTCAGTTCTAGTTCAGTTCTAGTTCAGTTCTACTTCAGTTCTAGTTCAGTTCTAGTTCAGTTCTAGTTCAGTTCTAGTTCAGTTCTACTTCAGTTCTAGTTCAGTTCTAGTTCAGTTCTAGTTCAGTTCTAGTTCAGTTCAAGTTCAGTTCTAGTTCAGTTCTAGTTCAGTTCTAGTTCAGTTCTAGTTCAGTTCTAGTTCAGTTCTAGTTCAGTTCTAGTTCAGTTCTAGTTCAGTTCTAGTTCAGTTCTAGTTCAGTTCTAGTTCAGTTCTAGTTCAGTTCTAGTTCAGTTCTAGTTCAGTTCTAGTTCAGTTCTAGTTCAGTTCTAGTTCAGTTCTAGTTCAGTTCTAGTTCAGTTCTAGTTCAGTTCTAGTTCAGTTCTAGTTCAGTTCTAGTTCAGTTCTAGTTCAGTTCTAGTTCAGTTCTAGTTCAGTTCTAGTTCAGTTCTAGTTCAGTTCTAGTTCAGTTCTAGTTCAGTTCTAGTTCAGTTCTAGTTCAGTTCTAGTTCAGTTCTAGTTCAGTTCTAGTTCAGTTCTAGTATAGTTCTAGTTCAGTTCTAGTTCAGTTCTAGTTCAGTTCTAGTTCAGTTCTAGTTCAGTTCTAGTTCAGTTCTAGTTCAGTTCTAGTTCAGTTCTAGTTCAGTTCTAGTTCAGTTCTAGTTCAGTTCTAGTTCAGTTCTAGTTCAGTTCTAGTTCAGTTCTAGTTCAGTTCTAGTTCAGTTCTAGTTCAGTTCTAGTTCAGTTCTAGTTCAGTTCTAGTTCAGTTCTAGTTCAGTTCTAGTTCAGTTCTAGTTCAGTTCTAGTTCAGTTCTAGTTCAGTTCTAGTTCAGTTCTTCTAGTTCAGTTCTAGTTCAGTTCTAGTTCAGTTCTAGTTCAGTTCTAGTTCAGTTCTAGTTCAGTTCTAGTTCAGTTCTAGTTCAGTTCTAGTTCAGTTCTAGTTCAGTTCTAGTTCAGTTCTAGTTCAGTTCTAGTTCAGTTCTAGTCAGTTCTAGTTCAGTTCTAGTTCAGTTCTAGTTCAGTTCTAGTTCAGTTCTAGTTCAGTTCTAGTTCAGTTCTAGTTCAGTTCTAGTTCAGTTCTAGTTCAGTTCTAGTTCAGTTCTAGTTCAGTTCTAGTTCAGTTCTAGTTCAGTTCTAGTTCAGTTAGTTCTAGTTAGTTCTAGTTCAGTTCTAGTTCAGTTCTAGTTCAGTTCTAGTTCAGTTCTAGTAGTTCTAGTTCAGTTCTAGTTCAGTTCTAGTTCAGTTCTAGTTCAGTTCTATCAGTTCTAGTTCAGTTCTAGTTCAGTTCTAGTTCAGTTCTAGTTCAGTTCTAGTTCAGTTCTAGTTCAGTTCTAGTTCAGTTCTAGTTCAGTTCTAGTTCAGTTCTAGTTCAGTTCTAGTTCAGTTCTAGTTCAGTTCTAGTTCAGTTCTAGTTCAGTCTAGTTCAGTTCTAGTTCAGTTCTAGTTCAGTTCTAGTTCAGTTCTAGTTCAGTTCTAGTTCAGTTCTAGTTCAGTTCTAGTTCAGTTCTAGTTCAGTTCTAGTTCAGTTCTAGTTCAGTTCTAGTTCAGTTCTAGTTCATAGTTCAGTTCTAGTTCAGTTCTAGTTCAGTTCTAGTTCAGTTCTAGTTCAGTTCTAGTTCAGTTCTAGTTCAGTTCTAGTTCAGTTCTAGTTCAGTTCTAGTTCAGTTCTAGTTCGTTTACTTCAGTTCTAGTTCAGTTCTAGTTCTAGTTCAGTTCTAGTTCAGTTCTAGTTCAGTTCTAGTTCAGTTCTAGTTCAGTTCTAGTTCAGTTCTAGTTCAGTTCTAGTTCAGTTCTAGTTCAGTTCTAGTTCAGTTCTAGTTCAGTTCTAGTTCAGTTCTAGTTCAGTTCTAGTTCAGTTCTAGTTCAGTTCTAGTTCAGTTCTAGTTCAGTTCTAGTTCAGTTCTAGTTCAGTTCTAGTTCAGTTCTAGTTCAGTTCTAGTTCAGTTCTAGTTCAGTTCTAGTTCAGTTCTAGTTCAGTTCTAGTTCAGTTCTAGTTCAGTTCTAGTTCAGTTCTAGTTCAGTTCTAGTTCAGTTCTAGTTCAGTTCTAGTTCAGTTCTAGTTCAGTTCTAGTTCAGTTCTAGTTCAGTTCTAGTTCAGTTCTAGTTCAGTTCTAGTTCAGTTCTAGTTCAGTTCTAGTTCAGTTCTAGTTCAGTTCTAGTTCAGTTCTAGTTCAGTTCTAGTTCAGTTCTAGTTCAGTTCTAGTTCAGTTCTAGTTCAGTTCTAGTTCAGTTGTAGTTCAATTGTAGTTCAATTGTAGTTCATTGTAGTTCAGTTCTAGTTCAGTTCTAGTTCAGTTCTAGTCAGTTCTAGTTCAGTTCTAGTTCAGTTCTAGTTCAGTTCTAGTTCAGTTCTAGTTCAGTTCTAGTTCAGTTCTAGTTCAGTTCTAGTTCAGTTCTAGTTCAGTTCTAGTTCAGTTCTAGTTCAGTTCTAGTTCAGTTCTAGTTCAGTTCTAGTTCAGTTCTAGTTCAGTTCTAGTTCAGTTCTAGTTCAGTTCTAGTTCAGTTCTAGTTCAGTTCTAGTTCAGTTCTAGTTCAGTTCTAGTTCAGTTCTAGTTCAGTTCTAGTTCAGTTCTAGTTCAGTTCTAGTTCAGTTCTAGTTCAGTTCTAGTTCAGTTCTAGTTCAGTTCTAGTTCAGTTCTAGTTCAGTTCTAGTTCAGTTCTGGTTCAGTTCTAGTTCAGTTCTAGTTCAGTTCTAGTTAGTTCTAGTTCAGTTCTAGTTCAGTTCTAGTTCAGTTCTAGTTCAGTTACTCAGTTCTAGTTCAGTTCTAGTTCAGTTCTAGTTCAGTTCTAGTTCAGTTCTTTAGTTCAGTTCTAGTTCAGTTCTAGTTCAGTTCTAGTTCAGTTCTAGTTCAGTTCTAGTTCAGTTCTAGTTCAGTTCTAGTTCAGTTCTAGTTCAGTTCTAGTTCAGTTCTAGTTCAGTTCTAGTTCAGTTCTAGTTCAGTTCTAGTTCAGTTCTAGTTCAGTTCTAGTTCAGTTCTAGTTCAGTTCTAGTTCAGTTCTAGTTCAGTTCTAGTTCAGTTCTAGTTCAGTTCTAGTTCAGTTCTAGTTCAGTTCTAGTTCAGTTCTAGTTCAGTTCTAGTTCAGTTCTAGTTCAGTTCTAGTTCAGTTCTAGTTCAGTTCTAGTTCAGTTCTAGTTCAGTTCTAGTTCAGTTCTAGTTCAGTTCTAGTTCAGTTCTAGTTCAGTTCAGTTCAGTTCTAGTTCTAGTTCAGTTCTAGTTCAGTTCTAGTTCAGTTCTAGTTCAGTTCTAGTTCAGTTCTAGTTCAGTTCTAGTTCAGTTCTAGTTCAGTTCTAGTTCAGTTCTAGTTCAGTTCTAGTTCAGTTCTAGTTCAGTTCTAGTTCAGTTGTAGTTCAATTGTAGTTCAATTGTAGTTCAGTTCTAGTTCAGTTCTAGTTCAGTTCTAGTTCAGTTCTAGTTCAGTTCTAGTTCAGTTCTAGTTCAGTTCTAGTTCAGTTCTAGTTCAGTTCGTTCAGTTCTAGTTCAGTTCTAGTTCAGTTCTAGTTCAGTTCTAGTTCAGTTCTAGTTCAGTTCTAGTTCAGTTCTAGTTCAGTTCTAGTTCAGTTCTAGTTCAGTTCTAGTTCAGTTCTAGTTCAGTTCTAGTTCAGTTCTAGTTCAGTTCTAGTTCAGTTCTAGTTCAGTTCTAGTTCAGTTCTAGTTCAGTTCTAGTTCAGTTCTAGTTCAGTTCTAGTTCAGTTCTAGTTCAGTTCTAGTTCATTCTAGTTCAGTGCTAGTTCAGTTCTAATTATAAAAATATAAATATTATGTTTTTGTTGTTTTGTTTTAATTATACACAAGATTTACATCAGTTAACGGCTAAATTAGAAAAAAATTAAATTAAAAATTAATTTTTAGTCTTTAAGAAATCTGACATAAAATATTTCCGAAAAAAACTCAAATACACATACAACATGTATCTAATATATGTACATTTTTAATATTTTAATCAATCATTGTCTTCCTCACATCATCTCTATAAAACTTGGAAGATACAATTTAGGAAATATATATTTGTCACACATCATACATATAAATATTTAAGTAGTTCATCAAATACTTTACTTTTCCATTCTGCCATTTTCCAAAATGAATAAGTAAATATACAAAAGTACATTCTAATATGTTTACTAAGTAAATTTTAATAAATTGTAATATTATGCCAGCTAACGTTACATTTCTGGCAACAAAATTTTGAGAGGCTTTTTACTCAAAACAACTTTACAAATATAAATCATAATATAACCTGGGAAAATAACAATTATTTAAATACCCTAAAGTAGAAGAGAAATGGTAAAGTAACAGTACAAAAGACATAAAACGTAATTTAAATTTAAAATATTTAAATGAAAATATGTTTGTTTTTTTTTGTACAAAAAATATTCACAAATGTAGAGTTCTTCATTTGTCATATTTAGGTTTTCATTTTTAATATTAGCAAACATATTTAGGTTTTTATTTAACAAAAATATTTCATGTTTTTTCTTGAATACCTTTGCAAATACTAGAAAATATTTTGTCAATATTTGATACTTTAGCAAGGACTCTAATATTCTAACAAATAAAATGTAAAAGAAATGAACGAAAAAAAGAAATATTGTTGATATTTAAGGTAAATATTTCTATGGTAATTTCATGCAATATTTACATACTTAGGTATGTGTGTAACAGAAAGCAAAATTAGTATTCAAGATCTGGTACTTTCACAACCACATATGTAATTACTCGTACATAAATTACCCCATTTAAACTAACAATAGAGAAAACCTTGCAAACATGAGCATTAGGCCGGAAACACTTTTGGAATTTAAGAAAAAGTTAGTCAATTCTTTTAGTTCCGTTCTAGTCTAATTCTAGTTCAATTATAGTTTAGTTCTAGTTCAGTGCTAGTTTAGTTCTATTTTAGTTCTAGTTCAGTTCTAGTTCAGTTCTAGTTCACTTCTAGTTTAGTTCTAGTTCAGTTCTAGTTCAGTTCTAGTTCTTCTAGTTCAGTTCTAGTTCAGTTCTAGTTCAGTTCTAGTTCAGTTCTAGTTCAGTTCTAGTTCAGTTCTATTCAGTTCTAGTTCAGTTCTAGTTCAGTTCTAGTTCAGTTCTAGTTCAGTTCTAGTTCAGTTCTAGTTCAGTTCTAGTTCAGTTCTAGTTCAGTTCTAGTTCAGTTCTAGTTCTTCTAGTTCAGTTCTAGTTCAGTTCTAGTTCAGTTCTAGTTCAGTTCTAGTTCAGTTCTAGTTCAGTTCTAGTTCAGTTCTAGTTCAGTTCTAGTTCAGTTCTAGTTCAGTTCTAGTTCAGTTCTAGTTCAGTTCTAGTTCAGTTCTAGTTCAGTTCTAGTTCAGTTCTAGTTCAGTTCTAGTTCAGTTCTAGTTCAGTTCTAGTTCAGTTCTAGTTTCAGTTCTAGTTCAGTTCTAGTTCAGTTCTAGTTCAGTTCTAGTTCAGTTCTAGTTCAGTTCTAGTTCAGTTCTAGTTCAGTTCTAGTTCAGTTCTAGTTCAGTTCTAGTTCAGTTCTAGTTCAGTTCTAGTTAGTTCTAGTTCAGTTCTAGTTCAGTTCTAGTTCAGTTCTAGTTTCAGTTCTAGTTCAGTTCTAGTTCAGTTCAGTTCAGTTTCAGTTCTAGTTCAGTTCAGTTCTAGTTCAGTTCTAGTTCAGTTCTAGTTCAGTTCTAGTTCAGTTCTAGTTCAGTTCTAGTTCAGTTCTAGTTCAGTTCTAGTTCAGTTTCTAGTTCAGTTCTAGTTCTTCTAGTTAGTTCTAGTTCAGTTCTAGTTCAGTTCTAGTTCAGTTCTAGTTCAGTTCTAGTTCAGTTCTAGTTCAGTTCTAGTTCAGTTCTAGTTCATTCTAGTTCAGTTCTAGTTCAGTTCTAGTTCATGTTCTAATTCAGTTTTAGTTCAGTTGTAGTTTAGTTCTTGTTAAAGACGGACATTTAATCTCTTTAAAAATCAAGTTAAGCCCTTCGTATAGGTACGTATTTTTACACCACCCTAATACACATTCATCTCGTCATTTGAATACACATTTACATTTTCAAAATTCTTTCATTTGTGACAAAGTTAAATAATCAAAAAAAAACTTTTTGTAACAAAATTTAAGATTGAAAGGAGGATTTTGTTATTTTTTGTTGCTTTATAGCTGCTGTAAGATGCCAGCACAACATTTAGACAAAAAGGTATTTTAAAAATGTTTCTCTATTACAATGTTAAATATTTTACATTGTAAATAAGAAATATAAGACCACTAATAATATAGATGACGATAGATGTTTGTGAGATTTGTAAGTAAAAGACAAATTATTTGTGGTTTGATTGTAAAAAATTTAAAGTATTTAGTAAATTTTTTTAAGTTTGGAAAGAATAGAATGATACTGGACCTTCAAGTTTTAAGCAGGAATTTATGAAGAAATTTAAAATCAAAGATAAATAAGCTTTAAATTAAAAAGCATTAGATAGCTATGAATGTTGCAATTTCAAATGTGAGACTATAACACAAAGTGATTAAATTTCACATGTGAAATTGTCTTTAAAACAATGTTACAAATAAAAATTCAATCTGAAAGTATTTCGATTCTACCATAAAATGCATAATTTCCTTTCCCATTTTCACCTCTTCCACAAATCCTTGCTTAACTGAAACACCAGCAAAGTTCTTTGGTACCAGTCATTCATATTTTTTATGTACTTTTTTCATAACCTCATTAATTAAAATAAATAAAAATGACCCTTATTAATAATATTATTATTTCATTGTCTCACGCACAATAACATCTGCGCTAAAGATTAACAATTTCCCAGTTGTTTTATATGCATGTATGTATTTTTTAAGTGGGAAATAAAATATATGAAAATATTTGTCATTAAAACGAAAAAATAATATTATGATAATATTGTTTTTAATGGGAATTTACCAATATTATAGCTTTAAAAAATATTTTTTTTATGTAACAAGTAAAATGTTGTAACACATTGTTGCGAAGCGTATGAGTATTGTAAGGGAATTATTATCGGGCGATATTAATCATACGCACTTGAGAATAAAATAACACTCAAAAAGAAATCAATTAAGGAAGCTGAGAGCAAAGTGAAGGTCTAACTAACTAACTACTAACTAACTAACTAACTAACTAACTACCTAACTAACTAACTAACTAACTAACTACTAACTAACTAACTAACTAACTAACTACTAACTACTAACTAACTACTAACTAACTAACTAACTAACTAACTAACTAACTAACTAACTAACTAACTAACTAACTACTAACTAACTAACTAACTAACTAACTACTAACTAACTAACTACTAACTAACTACTAACTACTACTAACTAACTACTAACTAACTAACTAACTAACTACTAACTACTAACTACTAACTAACTACTAACTAACTAACTAACTAACTAACTAACTAACTAACTACTAACTACTAACTAACTAACTAACTCTAACTAACTAACTAACTACTAACTAACTAACTAACTAACTACTAACTAACTAACTAACTACTAACTACTAACTACTAACTACTAACTAACTAACTAACTACTAAACTAACTAACTAACTAACTAACTAACTAACTACTAACTAACTAACTAACTAACTAACTACTAACCTAACTAACTAACTAACTACTAACTAACTAACTAACTAACTAACTACTAACTAACTAACTACTACTAACTAACTAACTAACTAACTACTAACTAACTAACTAACTAACTAACTAACTAACTAACTAACTAACTACTTAACTACTAACTAACTAACTAACTAACTAACTAACTACTACTAACTCTAACTAACTAACTAACTAACTAACTAACTAACTAACTAACTAACTAACTAACTACTAACTAACTAACTAACTAACTACTACCAACTAACTAACTAACTAACTAACTAACTAACTAACTACTAACTAACTAACTAACTAACTACTAACTACTAACTACTAACTAACTACTAACTAACTAACTAACTAACTAACTAACTAACTAACTAACTAACTAACTAACTAACTAACTAACTAACTACTAACTAACTAACTAACTAACTAACACTAACTAACTAACTAACTAACTACCTAACTAACTAACTAACTAACTAACTAACTAACTAACTAACTAACTAACTACAACTACTAACTACTAACTAACTAACTAACTAACTAACTAACTAACTAACTAACTACTAACTAACTAACTAACTAACTAACTAACTAACTAACTAACTAACTAACTAACTAACTAACTAAAACTAACTAACTAACTAACTAACTAACTTAACTAACTAACTAACTAACTAACTAACTAAACTAACTACCTAACTAACTAACTACTAACTAACTAACTAACTAACTACTAACTAACTAACTAACTAACTAACTAACTAACTAACTAACTAACTAACTACTAACTAACTAACTAACTAACTGACTTGTCTAACTAACTAACTCAATTACTGACTAACTACTCCGATCTACTACAAACTTCACTTCTTAATTTAATGAAATTTCTTTCCTTTCAGCATAAATATATCCAAGTAAGAGTAACAGCAAAGAGTATGAGTGATATCAAAATATTACATCATATTCATATAAATTATACGCCATGAATACAATAAATAAAAATTTCCAAAATTCCTCATCAATGCTGTCCCTATATATATAGCATCAAAAAGATTCTCACCTGCTGGTGAATCAGGGGTGTTAATGTTGCAGAACCAGCTGCTGGAATTTGGACTACTGGTGATGCTGCTGTTGATATTAAAGATGAGGAAGATGAATTATATTGCTGCTGATTCTGTTGTTGTTGAGTTTCATGCTGCTGCTTGCTGTTGTTGTTGATTTTTATTGGTCTTATTTTTTTTTATAACGACAACCACGAAATCGACACATACTTGCAGCCTGGCCCATTGGGCCCGCTAGCAATGCAAATGTTAAACCCTCCGTTTTAATGAATTTAATTTTGAAAATATATTGCAAAAGCTGTTTATGCGAAATCTGTCACGGCCAACAATAATAAACAATGACGACGACAACAGCAGCAACACAATACCGCCAGTTGAATAAATAATTCGATTAAATGCACTCAAAAAATAATAACAATTAAACGTAAATAATGGCAATAATTTTGTTGTTGTAGTTACTAATGATGATGTTGTTGTTTTTCTGGCCGGGTTTAATGATGTTTCAGCATTAACAACAGTTGGTAATGGTAAAGTTGTTGTTGATGTTGTTGCTTTTATTGTTAAACAATAAAATTTTCGATAATTAGACTTAAGGGTAGAATTAAATTGCTTTAGTGTTTTTATTGTTGTTAATAAATTTGTTAATATTTTTGGCTGCGTTTGCTTTTCTTTAAATATAAGTTCATTTTTTGAGATATTAAAGTTTTTCATGCTAATTTTTGTCGGCTTCTGTCTTTATTAGGTGTTCTTTTCTTTTATTAAATTTTTCTGGAATTTATCTATAAATCATAAATTTTATTAAATTTTATTTATATGTTGTTTCTTCATTCTTCACTTCAATGATATGGTGGTTTGTATGTGCTGCGGTTTATTAATTTTATATTCATCTTTATTAATGTTACAAACGAGATCTGCATTTGTGTAGTGGTTTTATGATGACTGACAAACTGACTGTCTGTCTGTCTGTCTTCTGTGTCTGTAAGGGACTTTGTGTGTCATTTTATTCTCTATGTTTATTAATAAATTATTTTTGTACATAAAATATACACTTGTAGTTCTTTACGACTGTAGACAGTGGGGGTGGGAGAGTGGTTATACAAGTGAATTAACTGTTGGGGTTTTCCATAAAAATAGTTCCTTTATAGAGTACACTTTGGAAGTACTAGAAAATGTATCTCTTTAAGTAATATTTCTGCATCATTTTAAAATGTACTTTTCAAAAAGTACTTTTTGTAGCATATTAATAGGTACTTTTCAAGAAGTACTTTTTTAAGTTACAAAAAATCTTTTTCAATATTGCAATTATGTCTCTAGATACATCAAAATTTCAAAAACACCGAATTGTAAAAAGTAAAAATGCCCACTGTTACATTAACATCTCGTAATATTTATTCAATTTCTATATAGTATTTCCGTGCACGTGCTTTGGATTTTTCTGAAAAAATATCCTCTCTCTTCACAACAAAACAAAAATTACATAAGCATCTTCATGAATAGTAAATTACGTTGTAAACTTCTATGTTTGTGGAGAAGAAAACGCATTTTAAGGTGGCTTAGAATAATATATAAATTTCCTAGAAAAACTAGCACGCAGCACATAAACGTAGTAATGCAAAATAAGAAAAATATATATAAAAAATGAGACCCTAACGAAAATCCTGTTGAAAAAAAAAAAAAACTTTTAGAGGTTAACTGTAGTTAAATAGTTAATGACTTGTTTGGCTTCCATTGGGAAATGTCCCGGGTAACACATTGGAGGTTTAAATGTTAAGAGCAAGCTAAATAATAACACTTAGCTCGTTTTAAACGATTTTAAATGATCAATGAAGTCAATAGTTAAAAAATTTAATTTTTCTATACACTTTATTAGAGACGTATGATTAATATTAACTGAAACTGGAACTGAACTAGAACTGAACTACAATAGAACTAGAACTGAACTAGAACTGAACTAGAACTGAACTAGAACTGAACTAGAACTGAACTAGAACTGAACTAGAACTGAACTAAAACTGAACTAAACTGAACTAGAACTGAACTAGAACTGAACTAGAACTGAACTAGAACTGAACTAGAACTGAACTAGAACTGAACTAGAACTGAACTAGAACTGAACTAGAACTGAACTAGAACTGAACTAGAACTGAACTAGAACTGAACTAGAACTGAACTAGAACTGAACTAGAACTGAACTAGAACTGAACTAGAACTGAACTAGAACTGAACTAGAACTGAACTAGAACTGAACTAGAACTGAACTAGAACTGAACTAGAACTGAACTAGAACTGAACTAGAACTGAACTAGAACTGAACTAGAACTGAACTAGAACTGAACTAGAACTGAACTAGAACTGAACTAGAACTGAACTAGAACTGAACTAGAACTGAACTAGAACTGAACTAGAACTGAACTAGAACTGAACTAGAACTGAACTAGAACTGAACTAGAACTGAACTAGAACTGAACTAGAACTGAACTAGAACTGAACTAGAACTGAACTAGAACTGAACAAGAACTGAACTAGAACTGAACTAGAACTGAACTAGAACTGAACTAGAACTGAACTAGAACTGAACTAGAACTGAACTAGAACTGAACTAGAACTGAACTAGAACTGAACTAGAACTGAACTAGAACTGAACTAGAACTGAACTAGAACTGAACTAGAACTGAACTAGAACTGAACTAGAACTGAACTAGAACTGAACTAGAACTGAACTAGAACTGAACTAGAACTGAACTAGAACTGAACTAGAACTGAACTAGAACTGAACTAGAACTGAACTAGAACTAAACTAGAACTGAACTAGAACTGAACTAGAACTGAACTAGAACTAAACTAGAACTGAACTTTTCCTTTGTACATTTAATTTTCATTCAGTGATATCTGGGTTAATTTTCCTCACGATTTTTATATCTATAATAAAATTTCCTTTTTCTACGATTTTATGTTTCATAAATCTAAGTTACACATTTTTCTATATGTCCTTTAATAGATACCCTTAAAGGACTTTTTTATATGTATTTATATTTCTATATTTTAAAACTTCATGACACGTCCTATTAAGCAATGATTTTGGCTTTGAAAAATATTTTATGAATTTAGGAATTAGAAGTGAAAAGGGAAGCATAATATTGAGTAAAAACAAGGATTTTCTTTCAAAATCATAAACTTTTTTTTAATGTATATGTAATTTTTTCAATAATAAATATTTGTACCAATTTGAAGTCTGTGCTATTAAAGTATATAACATATAAAAATTTGTTATTCTATGACATTTTGTATAACAGTTTTAAGTTTTTGTGACAGTACTTCCTGCAAAACAACTTTATGATTACTTTAGACAATATACGTACTCTGGAACAAGAGTAGAATATCACATAGTAAACCAATATTAGATTGGAAGTTATAAGAAACCATAATTGAAAAAATTTTAAAATTAGTTATTAATTTTTAGAATTCTTAATAACCAATTAAAAAATATACACATTTAAAACTTTTTTTTAAATTTAAAACATTTCTGTTTCCTTAACAAATGCAGTTATTTTAATGAACATGTCCAAACATGAATGTGTGTATAAGTAAAGCCATCAACACAAATAAATATATATAAAAACCAAAGTTTGTTCGGTTGGACTTCCTTTTATCACAAAAAAATAAAACCAACAACAAAAAGGAAACCAGTAAAGATAGAATGAACAACAAAAACATAAAGCAAAAAAAAAATCCTGTTGTTAAACCAAAAAGAAATAATTGCATAAATGAAGGACAAATATGTATGTGTAACTCGTTTGATCCTTACATCCCTACCTCGCTCTTATCTGTATATACTCTAGTTACTATGACAACTGGCATCAAAATAAAGACAAGCTTCAAACAACAAATGAACAAATATGTCATAAAATAGCAGTAGCTATAGCAACACATAAATGTATCCTTCAGCTACAGATACATATAAATTGAGATATGAATATAGATTACTATTTAACACAAATGAAATAAATTCACACGCATACACACAACTTGACATTTGCAGTCTTTTATGTTTTTTTGTTATAAGAAAAAAAGAAAAACTGAAAAAATGACCACAAACCAAATTAAGCAGAAATAACACTTGACATTTGCTTAAGCTAATGACAAGCCTTAGATTGAAATTATATTTGGTTGGTCATAAAAATGTAAATATTTATTGGAGACAATTTGTGCTAAAGGTACTAATTGAGGTTAATAAATAATTAATTGGGTTTAATGCCCAAGGAATGTTACGAAAATGAAATGTTTAAAGATAAACAAGGCAAAGTCGAATGTTACATGTTTTCTGAGGTTTCAGTCTAGTTTACAGTCTAGTCTAGTTTACAGTCTAGTCTATTCTATAGTCTAGTCTATAGTCTAGTCTATAGTCTAGTCTATAGTCTAGTCTATAGTCTAGTCTATAGTCTAGTCTATAGTCTAGTCTATAGTCTAGTCTATAGTCTAGTCTATAGTCTAGTCTATAGTCTAGTCTATAGTCTAGTCTATAGTCTAGTCTATAGTCTAGTCTATAGTCTAGTCTATAGTCTAGTCTATAGTCTAGTCTATAGTCTAGTCTATAGTCTAGTCTATAGTCTAGTCTATAGTCTAGTCTATAGTCTAGTCTATAGTTAGTCTATAGTCTAGTCTATAGTCTAGTCTATAGTCTAGTCTATAGTCTAGTCTATAGTCTAGTCTATAGTCTAGTCTATAGTCTAGTCTATAGTCTAGTCTATAGTCTAGTCTATAGTCTAGTCTATAGTCTAGTCTATAGTCTAGTCTATAGTCTAGTCTATAGTCTAGTCTATAGTCTAGTCTATAGTCTAGTCTATAGTCTAGTCTATAGTCTAGTCTATAGTCTAGTCTATAGTCTAGTCTATAGTCTAGTCTATAGTCTAGTCTATAGTCTAGTCTATAGTCTAGTCTATAGTCTAGTCTATAGTCTAGTCTAGTCTAGTCTATAGTCTAGTCTATAGTCTAGTCTATAGTCTAGTCTATAGTCTAGTCTATAGTCTAGTCTATAGTCTAGTCTATAGTCTAGTCTATAGTCTAGTCTATAGTCTAGTCTATAGTCTAGTCTATAGTCTAGTCTATAGTCTAGTCTATAGTCTAGTCTATAGTCTAGTCTATAGTCTAGTCTATAGTCTAGTCTATAGTCTAGTCTATAGTCTAGTCTATAGTCTAGTCTATAGTCTAGTCTATAGTCTAGTCTATAGTCTAGTCTATAGTCTAGTCTATAGTCTAGTCTATAGTCTAGTCTATAGTC